ATATCGTTATTAAAACTCAACCTAATATTGTAGGCATTGGTTGGTGGCACTGGCCACAACCATTATCTTTATTATGTTATGTTATATATTATGCAATGTTATATTACGAAATTATTATTATGACGTTGATGTTAATTTTTTTTATGTGCTTTATGAAAATACAATTATGTTTTTAAAAGTTTAAAGAACCAACTAGTTTTGTATTATATGTTCTCCTTTCACCGTTATCGGTCCCTTTTATTATACCATATTATATGGCCTCCTACAATCTCAGAAGTGGTTTTCGAAAATCCGTTTCCATGATGGATTTGGATAAAAATCGAGAGCATGGCGACATATTTCAGGATGATCAACAAGTCATTACCAGTGATACTTTTGAAGAGCCCTCTACATCTAATATGAACACCATGTTTCAATTATTGATGGAACAAAATCGTTTATTAATGCAACAACTCGCTGTTTTTAATACTACGAGTAACCAAGGTAATCAATTTTATGTTATGCCAGATCTTAACAAAAGTATAAAACCATTTACGGGCTACGAGTCTAGATCAGAAGCCAAAGATTGGCTAAATACATTTAATGGCATAGCTGATATTAACAAGTGGTCTGATGCTTTAAAGATTGAGTCTGTTCGAGCAAATTTGAATGGACCAGCTCAACAGTGGTTTAAGAGTCGTAGTTTTTTTTCATGGAAAATATTTGAAAAACAATTTACAAGGTCATTTCTTGGTGATCAAAATACTACTGAATCGTGGCAAAATTTAGTCTCTAGAGTTCAATTAAAAGGCGAACCTACTGTTGATTATTTTTTTGAGAAGGTACGTTTATGTAGTGAATTAAATTTATCATTTGATCAAGTTAAAACACAATTATTAGAAGGTTTTTATTCACGTGGCATGGTCACATACTTGTTGTCAAAACATCATAAAGATACTGATGAAATGTTTAATGACATATTAACTTATGAAAATCTAAATAAAGTACGTACTAAGCGGATAGTTTTGGGTAATAGTTTATTTAAGTATTCACAAAGCAATTCAACTGTAATACAAAAAAAGATTGAAGACAAGAAGAAAGATCAAATAGCAATTAATGTGAAACGCTGTTTTAATTGTTATAGTACTTCTCACACTATTCGAAACTGTAACAAACCAAAAAGAGCACCAGGTTCCTGTTTTAAGTGTGGCTCAATGGAGCATCGACAAAAAGATTGTAATGACAGTCTGAAAACAAAAGAAGAGGAAACTGATGAGCAATCCACAATAATGATAGAAATCAGTGAGTTATGTCATCCACCATATACACTGAGTATTAATATTGAGTGTCAAATGAAACATTGGACATTGGATGCAGTCATCGACTTAGGTAGCCCTATTTCTATAATTAAAGAAAATGTTGTTCCTTCTAATTTAATTTTAACTTCTGTTACTTCTAATCTTTCTGGTATTAATAAAAGCCAATTAAAAGTATTAGGTATCTTTAATTCAACAGTTTTTATTAAGTGTATAAATACTAAGTTAAATATTTTATTTTATGTTGTTGATAATGGTACAATGAATTCTGACTGTTTGTTAGGTAGAAATTTTATTTGTGATAAATCTATTAAGTTATCATTTGAAGACAGTTTACTTATAGAAAAAGTTAGTAATAATAATTTTATTTTTGATGATATTATGTTAATTGATATTGATAAGACTGAGACTATTAAATTAGATATTAATAAAAATTCAAGTTTTGATGTTCAGGATGAGGTGAACATAATTATTAAAAATTATTATTTAAACGATGTTGTTAACCCTAAAAAACTAGAGGCTCCTTTAGAACTTGAAGTTAAGTTAACTAAAGATCATGTACCTTTTTATTTTAGACCTAGGCGTATGTCATTTAGTGAAAAAGAGAAACTTAAAACTATTATTAATGAATTATTAGCTGAGAAAATTATTAGACCTAGTAATTCACCTTATTGCTCACCTATTGTTTTAATAAAAAAGAAAACAAATGATCTTAGACTTTGTGTAGACTTTAGAGAATTAAATAAAATCACTATTAAGGACAGATTTCCCCTGCCAATTATTGATGACACACTTGATATGCTTAAAGATAAAGTGTACTTTACCCGTTTAGATTTAAAAAATGCTTTTTATCATGTTAAAGTTAAAGAAGAGTCAATTAAATATTTATCTTTTATAACACCTATGGGTCAATTTGAATATACTAGAATGCCATTTGGTTTTTGTAATAGCCCTTCTATTTTTATGAGGTATATTTATACTATTTTTAATTCTTTAATTCAAAAAAATAAAATTATTATATATTTAGATGATATTTTAATAAGTACTGTAACAGTTGATGAAAATATTAGTATTCTTATTGAGATTTTTAAAATTATGTCACAATATTCTCTTAAACTTAGACTTGACAAGTGTTCATTTTTACAACAAAAAATTCATTATTTAGGATATGAAGTTGATGTAAANATACAAAAAATTCATTATTTAGGATATAAAGTAGATGTAAATGGTATAAAACCAAATCCCCATAACATATTGACCATTAAAAACTTTCCTATACCTAAGAATTCAAAAGAACTTCATAGCTTTTTAGGATTAGCTAGTTATTTTAGGAGATTTGTTAAAAATTTCTCTATTATTGCTAAACCATTATATGATCTTATAAAAAAGAATAAAGACTTTGTTTTTGGTGAAAGTTAGTTGTTAGCATTTGAAAATTTAAAAACATTTTTGATTTCTCCCCCAGTTTTATGTCTTTATTTTCCATTATTAGAAACTGAATTACATTGTGATGCTAGTCAAGAAGGTTTTGGCTCAAAAGTTCAAAAGCAGAAATATGATAATAAATTTTATCCTGTTTTCTATTTCAGTAAGCGTACAACTGATTGTGAATCTAAATATCACAGCTATGAGCTTGAATGCTTAGCTATTATTTATGCTATAAAAAGATTTCATATTTATCTTCAAGGTATTGTTTTTACTATAGTTTCTGATTGTGACAGTCTTAGACTAACTTTAAATAAAAAAGATATATGCCCTCGTATAATGCGTTGGACTTTGTTTCTTCAAAGCTATGATTATAAAGTAGTTCATCGTTCTAATAAACAGATGTTTCATGTTGATGCTCTTAGTAGAGTACAAAATATTTTAATACTTGAGAGTAATACTTTTGAACAAATTTTGTCTATAAAACAATTAAGTGATCCTGAAATTTCAGTTATTCGTAAAAAGTTAGAAAATGAAGATATTCCTTTCTATGAATTAAGAAATGGACTAGTTTATCGTACTAATGGTAAAAAACTTTTTTTTTATGTTCCTAATGAATTAATTGATAATGTTATTAGAACTTGTCATGATAATGTTGGACATGTTGGTGTTGAAAAAGTTGTAAATTTAATTAATAATTCTTATTGGTTCCCTAAGATGAAAGAAAAAGTAAAAAATTATATTTCTAAATGTTTGAAATGCTTATCATTCTCCCCACATAGTGGTAAAATTGAAGGATTTTTGCACAACATCCCTAAGGGTGACCTTCCTTTTAATACCATTCATGTTGACCATTTAGGCCCTTTTGAGAAAGCACATCATGGATATAAATTTATTTTTTTAGTTACTGATGCCTTTACTAAATTTGTTAAACTTTTTCCAACCAAGACTACTAATAGTAGTGAAGTTATTAATCATCTTCAGAATTACTTTAGTTTTTATAGTAGGCCTATTCGAATTATTTCTGATAGAGGTTCTGCATTTACCTCTATAGTATTTGAAAAATTTACTGTAGATAATGAAATTCAACTTATTCATATAGCTACGGGTACTCCTAGAGCTAATGGTCAAGCCGAAAGAGTGAACCGTACCATCCTCCCCGTGATAGCTAAATTATCCACTACCCTATCCAGATGGGATAAGACATTAAATGATGTTGAATACGCTATTAATAATACAATTAGCCGTTCTACTAATGAAGTTCCAACTGTTTTATTATTTGGTGTTAAACAAAAATATAAATTTGATGATGATATAAAGAATTATTTAGATTCAATCAATTTTTTTGAAGAAAGAGATTTAGAAAAAGTAAGAAAAGAGGCTTCTAATCACATTTCTAAAATCCAAGAACAAAATAAAACATATTATGATAGTAAGCATAAAATACCAACTAATTATATAATAGGNATAAAACATATTATATGATAGTAAGCATAAAATACCAACTAATTATATAATAGGAGATTTAGTTTTAATAAATAATTATGATACTACGCCGGGTATAAATAAAAAATTAATCCCAAAATTTAAAGGACCTTATATTATTAAAAAAATATTGCCTAATGATAGATTTGTGGTGACTGATATACCAGGTTTTCAGCTTACTCAAAGAGCTTATGAGGGCGTAAGTGCCATAAATAACATGAAAATGTGGTCACCTAGTCTTGACTCAACACAAGAATAATTTAAGTTATAATGTATTTATTGTTATGTTTATGTTTTATTTTAATTGTTATTGTATTTGTATTAAAAAAAAAAAACTGAGTACTAACTAAAGTGTTCCTTATGATAATTATGTTATGACACTATGTTAAATTATGATATATATTTTTTTTTAAATATTATTTATAAGGGTTGAGGTCAACCCTATGTCAGGATGGACGAGTTGTAGGCATTGGTTGGTGGCACTGGCCACAACCATTATCTTTATTATGTTATGTTATATATTATGCAATGTTATATTACGAAATTATTATTATGATGTTGATGTTAATTTTTTTTATGTGCTTTATGAAAATACAATTATGTTTTTAAAAGTTTAAAGAACCAACTAGTTTTGTTTTATATGTTCTCCTTTCACCGTTATCGGTCCCTTTTATCATATCATATTATATGGCCTTCTACAATATAATGATTTTTTATTTTATTTTTAGGCTTTTATTGAATATACTCCCCCCAAAAATATAATGAATTCAATATTAATGTTATAATACATTTAGCATGGATGAAACAATATACGATTTTATCTACGGTATTGCAGAAGATTTTTGGAAAAGTGCAATGGATGAAATATCTCAAAGAATTTCGAAATATGAAAGTGTTCATTTTGTAGTAGACTGTAACTTAGCTGCAATTTCACGTCTTTTATATGTTTGTGTATAAAGGATGTAATTGAATCATTAATTTTATAATAATTTTTTTAACAGGCTGCTCATCCTGACATTGATCCCGGTGACTCAGAAAATTTATCTTTTTATACAAATCCTCCAGTACAAAGTCATAAAGTCACGTATACTATTCCTTATAGTAATAATTTTGAAAAAATTAACACGACAAAACAAACAAAAAAATATAAGACGAAAATATGTAAAGATATAAAAACTCCAAAGGTAACATCAACTTATACTTCTGATACAGTGATTTATTATATTGTATTATATATTTATTTTTTGATATATTTTGACGTATAGTCGAAAAAAAATCGGTTCGGCGAGATATAAAAAAAAAGTGGCAAGGGACATAAAAAAAAAAAACATCATAGTAAAATTAATACCATCTCAGCTTTAAAGGAAAGGGGGGAGAGGTGATGTGTGTACGAAGATGATGATTAGTTTACTGCTTGGATATTCGCGCACGTGTGATCATACAGCAGCGGACACTCTGGATTAGCTGTGAGTAGTTGTCATAGGAAGGGAACACGAGAGTAACGCCCGGGTATGAGATGCAGACAAAGTGCAACACACGAAAACTTTGGCTGTTAGGAGAGGATAATATGAAGACGATATACAACTCGAGTGCAACACACACAAGCACTTTGAAATGTCGAGGACGAGAGCGAGTAGATGAAAAAAGATAATAACAAAGACTTGACTTTGTGCAGTAAGCCGGACAAAGACAACCGAGTACACTGAGACTGATGAGTGACGCAAAGCTCTGGAATCGACTGAACACGTCGTGCGGGTCGGTCGGGTTTAAATAATAATTCCGACGATCGAAATAAATATCAATTCATTAGTCTCCAAGAGCGGATGCGCTTTCTGTATCGTATTAACGATAATGGTAACGTGATACCGTCGCAATTGGTTTGCGTTTCTAAATACACATTAAAAAAATAATTATAAAATTCTTATTAAAAACTGAAAAAAGTGAGATAGTTAATATTTATAAATATAAGGTCATAATTTTTTTGGCATACTGCTGAGGTCTGTGTCAAAAACGGAAAACCGACGTTGACACTCGAGAAAGAACGCCGTGTCGGTCGCAATACAGGTGTTTGAAATAGTCCCTGTATCACGCGACCCTACTCGTAGGTGGTGTCCCTCGCCGACCACAGGTGGCGACCGCATATCAGGTTTTTGAGTTTCGGTTCCATTTGACTTTTCCAAGACATCGGTTCCGTTTTCTCCTTTATTAAGTAGGTTCTTCCGCATCTCCGCGATTGCCCGGATCCTCTTCAGCTTGCTCCTTTGACAGACGCTCAGTTTCTCCACCAACTTTTAGACCCTAAATTTTGTCAGCTACTACTCTCAGAGTCGATCTTGCGACCCCGGTCTTGTTAACTTGTTGACGTTGTGTATATGCTGCTAATAATAGAGACGGTTCATCATCGAGTGCCTCGTCGTTCTAATTGACACTTTCGAGTTGAGGCAATTTTCGAGCCGCCAGAACAGTGGTATTAGTTGTCATCCCATTTGAATTAAACAGTATCCGCGGGGTTTTTAAGCCCGTGATTCTCACGGATCTCTCTGCGGAATATCTTTAAATAAAATCGTATCGAGATATTTTAGCTTTGATTTAAAGCCTAGAAGGTATTGATTTTACTGCGAAGGGTTTTTTTTTGTGTCTATCGCCACTTTTTCTTAGCTCTCGTCTAATCGATTTCTTATAACCAAACGTCAAAATATTTCAAATCGTATCTGGTCGAACGCGTTTCCTTTAAAAATAGAAAAAATAATTTTCATTCCCTATAAACGGGAAAACTCGCCCGAAAATTACGATTTTTTTACTCGGTCAACTTTGACCAATTGTTTACGTTTTTTCCTTATAACTTATTTAAAAACGAATAAAAAATAATATAATTTTTAATTTGTCTCGACACTTTCAATTTATCGGGAAAATACCTTAGATGTATGCCTTTTATTCGGTATAAAATGTATAACACATAAAGGGGTAAGATTTTAAACACGATAAAAACATCCGAAAGATACTTACACACTCAAGTAGGGTGACGGTTGATAAATGTGACGCAGGTGGCTGCGTATCACGAGGCGTCGGGATCGCGTCAAATACGAGAATTTTTCAATGTTGTATATCGTGAATATACTATGACAGTTATCGAAATATTTCCAATTTTTAGATAACTAAACCAAAAGTATTCAGATCAAAACCTTTGGACCTAGTAGATGTTAAAAATGACACAAAACAAATTCCAGCTAAAATTAACAAGTGAGATATTAAAATATCAGGTTTATGTAATATATTTATAAATAGTACGCGTTATGCTTGTTGAATATTTTTTTTCAATATTTAACCTTCTATAGTGATTCGTAAGTAAGCTTCGAATAAAAACTAATAATAGTAATAAAACAAGTGGTGGTGGTGACCTAATTAAAATAGTGAATTATTTAGGCTCGATATCGATAAAAGTAATTCAGTTGCGAAATACCGGTTAAACGAAATTGGCGACTTAAAACTATTGTGAGTATCTATTTTTAAACTTTAAGGAGATCATTCGTTTGTATTATTACACTAAAAATTTTCCGTATAACCTAGGAAGAGTAAACAAAAAAGCAAGCCATCTTTAAATAAATCTCAAATCAAATGAAATAAAAATAGTCAACAAATGCACACTGTACACTATGTCGGTGCATACTAACAGTGAATGTTGAAAAAAATCTTCAATGATTGTGACTGCAAACAAATAAAGGAATTTTTTTCCAAAATTTTAATATTTATCAATATAAATAATATTAATAATAATTGTATATAATTTATTTAATAAATTAATTAAAGCAGTATGTGAGATTGTTTTTTTCGATATGATATAGTCGAATATTAAAATCTAATGTATTTAAATATTAGATTTAAATACATGATGGAATAATGATGGAAATCATCATTATTAGAATGATGATTTCCAAAGTCAGTGTTACAAAATATCTATAGGTTCCTAATTAACTATTTGTAATAAATATTATCACTCATAAAACTATGAAAAATTATTTTTATTTTCAAACAAACTAATTCTTCGGCATAGCAATTCAAGTTCCCACTCTTCTGGCATTTAAATATATTCGACCAAATTTGCTCCGGAAGATGATAATATATATATATATATATATATACAGAGTGATTTTTTTTATCATAACCCACTCAATTACTTGCAGAATAATAATAATTTAAACATTTTTTTTTTTCATTATCTTTAGTAACACATTATTCTTGAATTTTTAACTATGTAATACTTTTTAAGTTCATCCCTTATGCCTTGGAAGGGGTACAACTTTGTTTTTTTAAATGGTTACACATATTTTTAATTTAATAAAATGTTTGAGTTTTTAATTTAATAGTAAATGGCATTTGAATTTTTAATATAACTTTATTAGCTTATTAGATATAAACATTTAAAGTTTCAAANTTAATTTAATAGTAAATGGCATTTAAATTTTTAATATAACTTAATTCGTTTATTAGAAATAATCATTTAAAGTTTCCAATTTTTGAATTAATATACAGGTATAATACACAAGGGATTACAAATATAGGTAGCTAATTGGTTTTTTATAACATCGATATTAGCAGGTACACAGCATTGTTATTATCAATTGTAATAAGGCACATTGTTATGAGTTTATAAATACACTAACGGACAATACAGAAAATATATCTATTGATAATCGTAATTGATAATAAACAATTCGTGACTGAGACAGAAATGTCATAAAAATCCAATTAGCTACCTGTATTTACAATCCCATATGTATTATACATGTATATTAACTCAAAATTTTGAAACTTTAAATGTTTATATCTAATAAGCTAATAAAGTTATATTAAAAATTCAAATGCCATTTACTATTAAATTAAAAACTCAAACATTTTATTAAATTCAAAATATGTGTTCCCATTAAAAAAACAAAGTTGACCCACCTCCAAGGCATCCCTCCCGTTAATCAAACTATCTAACAAGGCATTGTTTTCTGGAGAAAAGGCCATCACCAGTAGTCTAAATCTCCTGTCCAGCCATCTTTATAGGCCTAGAAACAGAGTCTTGTTTTATATGCGCAGCCTAATTATAAGTACGGTGACAATAAATTGCAGCTGCATCTTTTTTAGCTGTAGCACTCTGCTTAGCACTTAAATCTCTCTTGTCATCACCCGTGATAAATATCAAAAATATAAAAATGTGGAGAATTAAAATTTATAAGATAATAAAACCACTAAAAGAAATTTAAATGACTATTATTAATCAATAAAGAAAGGTGAAACCAATCAAAATTGGTTTCACTTTTCTTTCTAATCAAATTAAAAAAACAAAAAATAGCCAACAAAAGTAAAAATAAAAAAATATTCAAACAATAAAACCCAACTAATTAAAATCGAGCAAATTATAATGTTCAAATTGTTATGAGAGTATGCTTAAAGCACTCACAAAACAAAATACATTTTTTTTAAATCAACAACTTAATTAAATTAAATCACAAATTATCACATAAATAGATAGTAAATGTAATAAATACTTAACTATTCAATTGAAATTAATAAAAAAAGCATATGTATGCTCTTCTTAAAATTAGAGTCAAATACTTCACATTAAAAATCGTTTAACATTTCATTTTAATATTTATATAATAAAATTAATATTTTTTATGATTTTGGAGCAACAAAGTAAAGGAGCTTTAGATGGAAAAAATAAATATAACATATATATAACCTTACACTTTGTGGAATTAAATTATCCTTAAAAAATGCAACACCCTCTCTTCTACCAATATCGCACCACGACACTCCTAAACTAACGGTAGCGTCAATAGCTTTTACACAAGGATCCTGTGGACCAACAATAATACTTAACCTAAAATAAATTACATAACCTTTAAATTATTAATTTATATATTTTAATGATGTTGTGGCCTAAGGGATACAACAAATGCTTTCTTTGTGGCGTTCGGGGAACTGAATGACGTTATGGCCGATCTGCTTTCTTCACGAGTTACATAAGCTGTATATTGACCGGGTTATCAGAGCTGAAGAATCTGATTCTACCTTTGATTGAATTTTTTACACGAGTCAACAGTACTTTATAACAGTAGAATAGTATTCAGATTCTTCACATGGTTTTTTTACATGAGAACAAAATTATGAATAATAGGGTATTCTTATTGTAGAAATATACACCGTAGTAGTTAAACTACTACGGTTGGGTATAGTAATACGTAGATCACGTTAAAAAAGATACACGAGTTTACAGGTTAGATAAAACACTCGCTCACACTTTTAAAATCACAGAAACATTAAAATGTATTGAAAACAGCAACAGCTGCTGAAAACAATGGTACAAGTGGGTATTGCTCCGTATCCAGTATTACTAACTAAAAATGACCGTGTGCTGGATCGCTAACTCTCTTCAGCAGGCTGAAATAACCAGTATATTATATTTGTATGGTATCAAAATATAATATCATCTTTCATAAGTTATTTACTTACGACAGATGTCGAACGCTATTTTTAATTGCAGAGAACGCTTTATAATTTTTAATTTTCAATATAGGTGAAAAATTGTTCGGACGTTTCAAAACATTAAAAAAAAACTATACCAAGAGAAAGATTATTGTCTCTAATATTTATTCATAAATAATTATTTTAAGTTATACATAATATACTGGTTAATATATTCTAGTGTTAGTGTATATTTTTAACAGTTTTTTATTCAAATTAAACATATTAAACTGTGCGTATAATTTCTGCAAACAAATCATATCGATTTATAAGATTTAAAATGAAAACAAGTGAAACTCGAGTAAGAGATAGTCAAGGCATTTCTTTACCTAAACTAGTTTTGAAACCAACCACCAAAAATTTACTTGACCCTAAAGCAGGAAATAATTCCGTCGAATCTCATAGTTATGATTTTTATCTCGATAATGAAAATGTAACTCCCGAGCCTCTCGAAAGTATTGAATATAGCCGAATAGAAAATGAAGACTCGAGTTCATACGCGTTAAAAGGAAAAATGAATTTCATAAAAGAAATGTCAAATGTAAAATCAGAAGAATATAGTATAGATTACTTTCTTCATGGTTCGACAGATGCGGCTAAAAGTTTACTTGAGGAAATTTTTTCTCAACATAATCACAATCAAAGTAGAAAAACTATTTATGATTCTGGGCCAGATATGATAAATCAACAAGAAACTATTGAAATGGGCTATGAAATTGAATTATCCGAGAGTGACACAATTTTTCTGTTACAAATGCGCAGTAGTATAGTCGTAGAAGGGTACTTATTGATTCTAGTTTTTAACGTATATTAAATAACTATCAAAATATAACTCGTATTAATTATAGAATTAATTATTAGTGATGGCGATTATGAAAAATTCTCACAAGAGAAAAGTAGATACGCAGAAATTGTATTAGGGTCAAAAACTATGGTCGAGTGCAGTACACAAACTGTTAATACACTTATGGAAAGAGACGACGAAGAAAGCCAAACCCAATCATTGTTATCAAATACATCTGGGACACAAGTATCTGTTTATAATTTAATTTACGAATACGACAAAGCAGAAGAAATAGAACAATCGATCGAAAAAACACAAATACTATCAACTATATTGTCTGATATTCATATAAAACCTCATAAAGAACCATCTTTAAATGCTGAGGCATTTTCTATTAGTGCTATGATAATGGAGCGCACATTAGCCAGTAATGTAATGGGACAACTTCAATTGTTTTTGAATGAAGAATTTCCTCGAAGGCCTTCCACTAATAATTCGTTTGATAATTACAAACTTGTATTGGTTTATGAATGTTTATTGGAAAAAAAAATAAACAAAAATTCGTCACCTCGATGTATTGATTGGAATATGGTCACAAATCATCTTTTAGCTGTCGGATATGGAAAGTTTTATTATCATTTTCAAGAAACATGTGGAGCTGTAGCAATTTGGAGTATCAAAAATCCAATAAACCCAGAAAGGTTAGTAGTATATTTTAATACACCCTATTGAGCCTAATGAGAACAAATATTGCTGATACTATAAATACTACTTTTTAGATACTATACATTTAATAAATCGGTTACGTGTTTGAGATTCTTTTTTGAAAAACCCAACTTTCTTGCAATAGGATTTTTTTGTGGAAACGTTTTAATAATAGACATATCTAGCGGGCCCTTGAAAATTATTTTCGATAAATCTGTTCAGTTCGCAGGAATCGATCCTATTTTAGACTTGTGTTGGACTTACCGAGTCGGCATTCAGTTATCCGATGTAACGGCTTCCGAAAGTTTAGTAAGTACAATATTGGTTCATAAAAATACTATATAATTGTAGTATGATTCTTTTGATTTTTTAAAAACATTTCTGTTCGGACGTCTCAGGTTACATGTGACGGAAACGGAAGAGTAGCTAGTTATTCATACATTCATAATTCTTTCGAAGAAAAAGAATTGATTCAAATCGATAAAAATGATAGCTACGATGATAAAAACGATAGCTACAACGATAGAAACGCTAACGATTCTACGGATGTAGATAACAAATTTAAATTAGAAAGATATCAGAGCGCAACGAGATTTATGGAGTTTGACGATAGAACGTACTTTGTGGGCACCAGTAGTGGTCATATCAATATATGTTCTTATCATAGTTTTAGAAATAAATACATTAAGAAATTAAAAGCTCATTTCGGGCCGATTCTATCATTGGAATGTTCGCCTCATTGCAAAACAATATTTTTGTCTACCGGTAGAGATTGTACCATTAACGTTTGGGTTGGGTTTAAACTTTCCGAGCCAGTGCTAACTTTAGATTGTCAAAGACAAGTTGAAAAGGCTATTTGGAGTCCAGTTCATTCTACAATTATTGCATCTATTGTCGGTAAGCATTAAGAAAAATGCGATAAATAATTGCATCGCATATAATTGACAGTAAAATTGACTTTGGTAATTAAAATGAAAAAGGTTTTGATTTCTTTTAGTTAGACATAGTTGTTTGTTTTTCAGTTAATAATGACTTTTTAGGACTATCCTTTATAACTCATAAGAATGTCAAATGAGTAAACGGTAACATACATAGCTAATATTAAATGTACACCAAATAGTACATTTAACAATCTTAAAAAATTATCTTATTTAGAAAATGTCAGTCGATAACAATATTTGGACCTGTGCCTTGGATGTTTTATCAACAATATAAAGTAATGACTGGAGATGAGAATAGAGTGCTATTTTTATCACTAGTCATTTCCCGACCGTACTTTCGGTTCCGCCTAGATATAAGAACAATATTCAAAATACTGATACATTTATCATGAATTATTTTATGAATCTCTGTAATTATAAATAATTTTTTTATTGGTTTCTTTTAGTTCCGTGTATTTTTCAATTTATTAATCATAAAGTATTTTCTAGTTCTGTACAAACAGTTCGACGGTGCGTTATTTTTAACAGTAGCAATCATATTATCTAATAAAATAAACGACAGGTCGACAATTAATTCGGACCAGTACTTTGGACGTTATTCTCATACCTACGTGGGCGAAGAGTATACGAACTCGTTTGTTTGGCCGTATTAGATGCAATAAAATCAGTTATTTCTTTTAGACGAATTTGAGTTGTCACCGCAATTATCGAGTAAACGATTCACCACACAATAAACTTTTGAGTTGTTATTGCCTTCCGTATATCCTAATTGTCACAGTGACCTATTGGTTTGACCGACTGGAAGTAATCGGCTGCCGTTATATTCGATGCCAGTGTGATACACTCGAAGATCGCTTATTCACCAGTTTGGTAATGCATATCCATCCGGTACGCCAATGGACGCGATAGGTGTTGGTCGTCCTGTCATGTATGCCGCTGCAACATTCATCAACTACCAAGCACTCCGGCAGTGGGTAAAAATTAAAACTGTTTATTGTTTAAATGATTATACAGTCCACATAAAATAAATATTATATTAAAAAGAATCTGTAATTTATTATTTAATATGAAAATTAATTTAAATTAATTTTTATTTATTTCCTTTTTTTCTTGTTTTTAACCGAAATATCTCGTCATTAATTATTATTGATGTGTTGCTCTCGAACTACTTAATTTAGAATGCTTAATACTACTAAAAAGTCATTATTAGCTGAAAAATAACTAAAATATAACCAACTGAAAGAAATCAAATTTCATTTTTCTAAAATTGTATTTATTTTGCGAGTAACAAGTGGTTTATGATAAACCGATCGCTCTGTGCATGTAAAGCTTATACACTATTTGATTAATGGTTTACAGAAAACACTATTCAAATATGGGATCTTGCATTATCGTTTTTGGATCCGGCATCTAGTAATACGCTAAAAGAAGATGACAAACCTATTGATATACTATTTACCCCCAATGGCTTTAATTTATGCATTTCTTTTTTAAGTGGATACATAACCTTCTTCACGTTACTAGGATTACCAGTTAAAGTTATTAACCCAAAAAGAAGTATTATGATTAACATAGCAAAAAGTTTGGAGAACAGAAAATATTTAATTCCAGATTTATGCAAAACGCAACCAGAATACAAAGAAATTTTCAGCAAGTTTATGAGACGTAATGAAAAGAAAAAAGATGTTTTATAAATCTCAGTATTAATAATATGTATAATTAAAATTAAAAATATCTTACATTTTCACGTATTTTTGCTCGAATAATCTTTTTTAGGCTAAAATGTAAACAATAATTACATTTTGTTAATAGTTATTTTAAAAATAACTTTTTTATAATTGTATGACAGTGAAATTTAATACGTTAAATGTAATTGTAAAATCAATCTAATGCATGAATAAATATCGTTTTACATTTTAAAGGTGAATCGATTGTTTTCATTAAAATGTTATAATCTATCACGTAAACCAATTAAATGTGTAAATTGATCCACTCGGAAACGAGATTCCTAACCGTATAAATGTAAGACATACTAAAAGAGCGAATGATCATAGCAACTGAAAGCGATGGAAACGACTTTGAAACTTTTAATGCCGTTTTAATTTTCTCATTAAGGTTTAGGGCACTACATGACGTATATAAAAAACGCCATCAAATATTCTCATTGATGTTGAGATTAATAATTTTATACAACATAAACCTTGGAAAATGACGTTGAATGGAATGTTACGAGTTAAAAAGTCTATTCTGATTTAGATTTTAAATAACTGGATCGTTTTCTAAACGAATTATACTTAAATTTTCCATTTTCCATTGTTAAAAGTCTAAATAGCAAAATAAGTTATTTGTTTACTATTTGATCACTAGTTATTTTCATACTAATATAAAGGCTAAAACTAAGGGTTGTTAATTTTAATAAATACATTAATTTCCATAGATATTAATAGTTACATGTTTATTGACAAATTTAATTTCAACTACCACGTATGGAAATAATTACTTTGAAAATTGATTTATACCAAATTAAAATTTGATCTTTGGTTTCATTTAATAACAACTGCTCTTTTAACGAGTATATTTAAAAAAAAAAATTGTATACAATTAATGTATTTTGGAGAGAAAAAGATGGCTAACCGTTCATTGATATTACAAAATGAAGAATGGAAAAGATTAAACAAACTTAATACCGTTAAAATCGATAGTGAAATGGCTAATAAAGAAATTAAGAGCTTTAGTGATGAAAGAAGAGCTATCTCTGAAAAATTAACTAAAAATTGGGATACAACAGTGTTGGTATTAAAACTATTTTCTTTACATATATTGAATATAGAAATAATAGTTTATTAAATAAATTGTTGACAAATTCATAAAATTGTTTATCATTATAGAATAAAAGAAGAAGAGAGTTGGATAAAAGAAAACAACTTTTAGCTGATTTAGAAACTAAACAAATAATTAGAGACGAAGAAATAAAACGTAAAATATTAGAAAAAAGGGAACATATAGTTGAAAAATCTCGTGTTCATAGATGGAAAGCTATGGATTCTATTAAAATGCTCAATAGTGCTATACAACATGCAGAGGTCCGATGATGTTAAACAAATTTGAAAATTTTTTATTATGTATATAATAAAAAATGTATATAATTGTATTTAACCTGAAGGTTCTTAGAGAAAGAAAACTTCAAATTGAATTTAATAATTCTGAAAAAAAGAAAATGTTAGAAGAAGAAAAACTAATGATTGATTTACAAAGGAAACAAGCTAATGAATATGAAAAGGAACTTTGGAATAATAAAATAAAACAATCAAAAGAGAAGTACGCTAGACACAAAATTATTATTGACGAGTAAGATAATTGAAAAGTTATTTTCTAAATAAGTAATTATTCGAATTAAAAATTGATAAGTCATTAGTTAAAATAAAAAATTGTCAGATAATAAAATATATTTTTACATAAATATGAATTATTTAAAAAATATTTTTGGTTTAAGTAGAATTTGTGAAATTAAATATATTTATTTATACAAATATATAATAATGTATATATTGTAATTTGGCCACAAATTGATAATACAATTGTGGTAAAAAAAATTGATCGTATCATGATTACACGTTAGTACCTTACCCGTTTTTTTCTAGTACACAATAATCTTATTTGATTTATTTATTAAGATAATACTCATGAACTTTTAAAGATGACTGAGTATTTTTTTTAGCCGTTAATTTTCTTTGATTAATTTTAATTGTAATCGACATTTTTATGAGTATACTTACTAATAATAATTATAACACAAGTATATTTCTGTACCCTAGAGAAGTCATCAAATCACAAAATTAGTATTTTGTGTTAGATTAAATATTTGTTGTTTTATATTTGAATTTAGTACGTAATCAATATTCTCAAATATAGAATATATTAATATATCGAATATTAACGCTCAAAAATTAAATACTTTTTTTAAATAAGGCTTGAAAAGATAAAAAATAAAAAAGCAGAAGAAGAAATTAAAAAAAAAGAATATGAAAACGCTGAATTGTTGCGGATATTTAGGGAAATAAAAGAGGAAACAGAAAAGAGAAAAGCTAAGGTTAAAAACAGTAATAACAAACTAATACTTTTCAGCTTCGCATGGAAGCTAAAAATATTTTATACATAATATATTATATATTAAATTATTTAATTGAAAATTAATTATGATTCTTAAAACAGTAAAACTATATTCGTTTTCGTAAGAAAATCATTATTTTACACTAAACGAAAGATGAATTTTAACGATTCGTCCTTTATTTATGTATAATGAAAAGCTTAACTTTTAATTTTATATAAAATTTAGAAAAAGTAGTTTTCTTTCTTTTCCCACGACTTAATCCCGACTGCTCGGGGTCGGCCATCCTTATCTTAAACTCTTACTCGATACGATCTACCGCATCGACCGTCCGCATATCGCATTCAATAACAACCCTCCGTCTATTTTTCGGTCTTCCTACAACATTCATTTCTATAACTGTTCTTACAGTTTCCGATTTCTCTCTCCTCATAACCCGACCGTACCGTCTAAGTCTATTTTCCCCTATCGTATCTACGATTGACGCTACACCTATACTCCCTCTTATATGTTCGTTCCTTATCCTATCTTCTATAGTCACTCCACTCGTCCGTCTATAAGCGTTCTCATCTCTGCTATATTCATTTTCTGCTCTACTTTCTTATCGACCGCCCGACACTCTGAACCGTACATTATCGTAGTTGGTCTCGCTATAGATTCACAGAACTTATATTTTGTAATAAACAAAAGAAATAAGAAGTGCGTAATAAAGAAAAAGATAGGATAGGGTAGTATAAAGAAGGGTGAATAACAACGGAAAGGAAAGCATAGTATTGGCCGTGACGGTTATTTGGTATAAAGAAAGCAAGAGCGGCTAGAGGTATTGAGCAGTGACTATAATAAAATGAAATGGAAAGGGATCTCGGGGCGTGTATGTCTTTATAAACACGTCTGATATACAGGGTGATTTTTTTATCATAACCCATTCAATTACTTACAGAATAATTATATTTAAACATTTTTTTTTTTGGTTATCCTTTAGTTACACACTATTTTTGAATTATTAACTATGTAATACTTTTTAAGTTCATCCCTTATGCCTGGTAAGGGTGTCAACTTTGTTTTTTTTAATGGGAACACATATTTTGAATTTAATAAAATGTTTGAGTTTTTAATTTAATAGTAAATGGCATTTGAATTTTTAATATAACTTTATTTGTTTATTAGATATAAACATTTAAAGTTTCAAAATTTTGAGTCAATATACATGTATAATACACATGGGATTGTAAATACAGGTAGCTAATTGGATTTTTATGACATTGCAGTCATAGTCACGGATTGTTTATTATCAATTATGACTATCAATAGATATACTTTTTGTATTATCAGTTAGTGTATTTATAAACTCACAACAATATGCCTTACTACCATTGATAATAACAATTCTGTGTACCTGCGAATATTGATGTCATAAAAAATCAATTAGCTACCTGTATTTGTAATACCTTGTGTATTATACATATATATTAAGTCAAAAATTTGAAACTTTAAATGTTTATATCTAATAAACAAATAAAGTTATACTAAAAATTCAAATGCCATTTACTATTGAATTAAAAACCCAAACATTTTATTAAATTAAAAATATGTGTTCCCATTTAAAAAAACAAAGTTGACACCCTTACAAGGCATAAGGGATGAACATAAAAAGTTTTAAATAGTTAATAATTCAAGAATAATGTGTAACTAAAGATAATCAAAAAAAAAAAATGTTTAAATATATTTATTCTGTGAATAATTGAGTGGGTTATGATAAAAAAATCACCCTGTATATGAGTAAGATGAAATATCGATGAAAGTTTACTATTTAGCCCTTGCAAAAAAATGTATTCACACGAATTTGTATGAATCACGAGTATCGTATTTTTTTATACGATTATTCTATTTAATTATGAATATATTATTATAGATTTATTACATAAATATATGTTTTCACTTGCCTGTAATTATTCCGATAAAGCAGATATCCCGTTGTAGTAGTTTATGTCACCGTTAGCAGTTTGTATGTGCGTGCGTATATAAATACGCACTTGAAATTACTCGATATCATTAATACATATTAACTCACGTGTAAATAATTCTCTAGTATAACCCTATATTAAATGTGTTTAAGGTGAAAATTAAATTTATTACACTTTTAGTATTTTGTGTAAACCCTTTTTGTATATTTATACGGTGTACTCTTTGGCCTTGTAATTAATGTTTCATACTAACGCATTTATAATTTTAATAATTTATAAAACCAATAAACAAATTCTAAACAACATAACTGTCTTATGCAAGAAAACTATTTCCAATTATTTCAAAAAATAATCTAGGGTAGATGCGACTTCAATTTAAATTCTTTGCACAGTAGATTACACTAGTATCCTTGTACTCCGATTGACCGCGCTATATTATTATTTTATATAGAACGTTTAAAAATTAGTTGAAACTTTGTTTACGATATTATTGTGCTAGTACTCTGTCCAGCCAGGTCGTGGCGTTTCAATAAGTAATAGAACACAATGCAATTTAATCATGTATTTTTTGATACATGATTTTTATATGTCTATATATATAAAAAAATAAATACCAATATTTTATGTGTGTTAGAATATTTGTATCGCCAAAAGTATTCGACTGAAAATAATATGTATAATATCTCTTCTAAATCCAAGCGATTAGGAACACGGAATATAAAAATTGTGTGGATTTCATATAGAATTCTATTATTTTATTTGATTATTATTTAGAATTGTAACCAAGAGCCAAGTATATATCGCTCAGACTCCACGCGTGTGTGTGTACTGACCGAGAATTGCACAGAGACGAGCAGAGTCGTGCGTAGTTGTAACCCTCGTCGCAGTAGAATCGTCACCGAAACAAACAGAGAGCAGGAGAGCACGTCAGAGCACCCGAATTTAGGGGAAATGGCCTTTTATAGCCCGCAAAACCAGTTTAGCGATCTCTGGTGAGATTCGTGAAATATTTTTTTCGTATTTGATTGGTCAATGTGATTGGAATCCTTTACGTGAGCGATTTATGGAATGCCATAAACATGAACTCATTTTATGGAGGGTGGTTAAATCTCGCGTGAGGGCGTTGGTTTTTTATTCGTCTTCTTCACGGGGGAACACCGATTTGGTGATATATTTTTTTATTAAGTATATGTATTACGTGTATTAAAATGTGATACTATACTTTAGGCTTCGTCGGAATTCTTTTATCGCGTAGCACACCAGACGCTTCTATCCAATCGATGAACCACCCGCACTTAATCCCATGTCTTGCGCCCTCGCCAATACTACCACCGTTCTTTTGCACAACTTGTTCTAAACACTTGAAACTTACCCAGCATCCTATCACGTCCTCGCCTATTGTCACTGATCTCCTCATTTCACCTACATCGTGTTCTCCTTTGTCAAACTGGTACTCTATATACTCTGTCTTACTCCAACTTATTCTTAAATCCTTTGGTTTAAGAGATAATCACCACACATTCACAATCTAGCTTTTGATTATTTTTCTCTCTATTTTTCTCCTATTAACACTATATCGTCAACTAACAACATGCACCACGATACCTCTCTATCGGTATTTCTCTAGGAAGGGCTTAAAGCAGAACCTTGACTCACTCTTATTCTCACCCTAAAATTTTCTGTTACTACTCCCACACTGGTACAAATTCCATTATACATATCCTCCTTTTTATATCAATGTACTTTTTCGGCACTCGTTTTTCCCATTCAAGCCAACTTTAAAAACTTTCTCAGTATTCTCATACGCTTTCTCCGGATATAAATCCAAACTGGTTTGTAGATACAATGTCTCATTTCTTTTTCTCTTATCTATTACCATTTTCCAAATATCTTCATACTATGACTCATAGCTTTATACCTCCATAATTTCCACATTCCTATATGTCTCCCTTACCTTTGAATATCGGTGCCACAACATTATTCCTTCAATCTTTCTAAATATTTAAATTGCAGATAAATTATGTTATTTTAGCTTCAATTATCAAAACAAAATGCACTAAAAAGTTTATCTGAAAGTCGAGAAATGGCAACTAAAAAAAAAATTGCTCGAGAATTAGAAAATCAAGACGATGATGCGGTAACGGCAATTATTGCTGAATCTAATGAGAAAATCGCCAAAACTAGAATGTTAAAAGAAATGGAGGTGAATAATTAATGATATATATGATTAACTCACGTTGGTTTATGAAATATGAAATTATTTTACAGATAATAAAAGCAAAACAAAATGTATTAGATAAAATCAAAGAAAAACTTAATGTTAAACAAGCTAAGAAAGATGAAAAAGACGAAATAGTGTTCCTCAATGCCATCGCTAAACAAGAAAAAAGGTAAACATAATATGTAAACTATTTTAAGTTGAAAACTTTGCTTGTTTAGAAATGTAGCAGATCTTAGATATTTTGATAAGAGGGTGCCATTAGCGTAGATTTTATGTGGCTCTATAACCCCTTTAACTCCAATAAAAACCAAAAATTATTCATAAACTTTTTACCTGCCACTTTCAAAATATTCGACACAGTCGCGACGTTATCACCTGCGCATGACACCCCGCGGTCGTGTCAGCTCTATCTCAGCCACTGCTCCATTGCAAAACCAGCCCGTCACACACACCCGTCATCGTCGTGGTGTAAATGCCAACAAATGCCTAGCATCCAATACCCGCTGCATGAACACGTTCAGTCGGTCATCTTCGTGACACCAACAAATCCAACAAGTCGTCCGTTTCGAACGAGAGTTTTTTACTTTTCGCTTTACTTTAAGACATCGGTAGTATACCATATTGTACAAATTATTATAACTTTTGTTTTTGTTTTACGATTTTATTCAAATAAACGGCTCGATGCCATTCAGCAAACTTTTTATCCTGTGTCGTCTATTTTCTGTTTTTTTTTTGTGCTCGGCACGTGAGAGTATCATATTAACTCAACCCAACCGTATCATATTAAAAATTATTTTTTTATTTTTAATCATCTCTTTCTCTACGAACGTGTCATAATTACCTCAAAATCGTTTGTGATTATCTTTGACAATAACAAGTAGTTATTATTTTATATTTTTAGAATTCAAAAAGAACTATCTGAAAAACTAGAGATGAAGAAAATACTTTCAAAAGAGATGGAAGATTATAGGACGGCAATGAAAGAACTTAAATCTAAGGAAAAAGAAAGACTTTCGTTGAGTTATCAATGGGAAAAGGAAAGACGTTTATTAGAAAGTAAAATAATAAACGAATTGAACTTGTTAAGAAAAAAAACTGAACATAAAAATAAAATATATCTGCGAGAGTATCTTGACTATCAATGTGTAAGTTTCGTATTTATTTTTATAATTATTAAATAAGACTAACGTACAGTAAATATGTTTAATTGGTATTATGAGGTAGGCTTTAATGTGCAGCTTATGCATTCGACTTGTGTATTTTATTATCCATAATTTATTGTCAGCCGAACACGGTAACTTTTGTATGATGATACGCACTTGAATATCCAGACAGCAGACTTGTCGTCTTCGTACCCACACTACTGTACGCTTACTCCTTATAGGCTGTTTTGTGTTACAACTAATGCAAAAAACATACACTGGGGTTTTCATACGAATAACCCTCGCGGAAACACACTCAATCTCCTTACTCAAACTCTAAACTACAGAATTCATACTCTTCTCTCGTTTACTCACTGATCTACGACGCCCAGAAAAAGATCAGACGTTCTCGATTTTTTTGTGTCTAAATTATCAAATAGTGTACACACCTCAGGAGCTAATTTAAACAAATTGTGCTCTGAACACTAATACGCCCTTTTAAAGATCGATACTGCTTCCTTGAATAAAACTATTTTATCGTTATCAGTAGTAGTCGAAGAATTTCGTTCTTAACGATTCTTTTACGGTATTGCACACCAGATACATAGCTAGTGATGGCAACTAGTACCGTAAGAAGCCATTCTTTAAACCAGGTTAGTTTAGAGAAGAAATAAACGAAAACATAGACCTGTTTTAAAGCGAAACGAGGGAGCCAGGACCATAATAAATATTCATAAATAAATAGATCGACGAAGAAAAAATTAAAATTTTACCAGCCTTTTTGGAAAGTACGGCTTTGAAAATATTTTTTGAAAATCTTGAATACAACACCGTCAGCCAAATCAAGTGGGCAGATAGGAGTATAAAACAAGGTTGTAATTTAAACCAATAGCTCGAACGGACACATTAAGAATTATTTTGCAAAAACGCCAAAAACAACCTGACGAATCCGTAAACTCTCATAAAGCATCAGCTTTATGTTTACGAATAAACAAGGACATGTCTTAATAATAATGTTATTTTTACTCTCATAACAGAAACAACCGCACAAAAAAAAAAACGGTAGCACAGTGGGGTCGCGGCATAGTAGAGACATTGCCTAGTAGGGTCCAGTATAGATTTAATCTGACAGTGATTAAAATCACTATCATAAGAAACGCTTCGATGCAAATCTGTAGATAGTGTTTAATTTTAAAAAATTGATGGATAATTGCAAAAGCAACATCAACTTCTATTAAAATAAAATACAAAACCCATAATTATCATACAAAAATAGTATATTTTTCAATATGGTA